CTCCTCATTTAGATTAACCCTATGTTTTTCGCAAAGTGTATTCACATCAATCTTTGTTAGAGGCGCACACTTACTCCTCCATCAAGTGTACGAGATACTAGTTCAAATACGTATATGAACATTAAAGACTAGAGATGAAATAATATGAGGGGTATCGTCTCAAATGAGAAAAATGATTTAGAGCACTAAAAGAAGAACACTAAAGGAGTATTAAATTATCTTTTTCCTCTTTGTGTCTTGTCCTTTTCCTCTTTTTTTTTTATTTTAATTTTTTTTTAGGCATGCCACCTCATTAGAGCTGCTTTTAGTGATCTTAATTCTTATTATTGCTAAAATGTCATGTTGAAAAGTTAAAAATTACTTTTAGTGACAATTTTTAACAACTAAAATATTTTGTCTTGAATAATGATTTTGCTTATAAATTTTTGTCTCTAAAATTTTATTTTGTTGTGGTGAGGCTTAGAGAGAGAGAGAGAGAGAGAGAGAGAGAGACGAAGTTGTAGGTGAGTTCTTATCAGAGGAAGATCTAGACCTAATTTTGGGGGCGCAGCTCCATTTATATAGCTTGTGTGTGTGTTTTTGTGTCCACTCACCATTGGATGCGTGGACCTGCTCTCGTCTCCCCTGTTCCTACGTGTCAGCGCAAATACAACTAAACACCACCTAACAAAACTGCCAAATGACTTTAACGTGCACAGGTAGTGCAATCCCCTTCTTGCAGTCTCGTGGCGCCGCATAGCACTCTTAACCGAGATACGTTCGATACGGAGCCATGCCATCACTCAACAATCGAGCTACTTGTCCGGTTTCTCTAACAACTCTGTACAATGGCTCAACCGAGCTCCTTGGCTACAGTAGAAGCTCGGTTCACCATGCCAAAAAGACTAATCTAGCCCAACTCTGAATAGTGCATAACTTCCTGGACCGGTCATCCACCATTATTCTCGCCCAACCGAAATAAGACCTCGGTTTAATATGCACTTAAGACAGGCCGAGCAGAAACTCCTGATTCCGACCCAACCAACTCGGCCCAACGTTTCGGTGACAAACCTCCCTCTCAGATATGTTCCCTGTATTTTTTTTATTGGTTTTATTCAGTCTTAAAAAAAATATCAGTTATATCCTCAGTGGAAAATTACATAAAAACTATAAAATTACCAAAACTTCTTATATATGTAGCTGGAATCAATACAAGCAGGATTTACTAAAATAATATCTGTAAATTTATTTGTGTTGCATTTGGTTAGGGAATATGTCGAGTTTGGTTAGGGAATTTAAAAAGAAATTTGGAAATAGAAAATGAAAAGGTAGGTGAAATATGAATAAAATATATTTACATTTTCACATAGTTTCACATATTTTTTTCCTTTTTTTT